AAATCGCCTAGGGCGATAAAGAGTGACTCCTTCGAATATTCGAGTAGATAGCATGTACTTGGATATTGTTTTTCTGTGGTAGAAGGTGGGGTAAACCGAATTGTATTTAACGAAATTACAGAGTTACTCAGTAAAATTGGAAAAAACCATATCGTAAAATCGTTCATTTTTTTGGGCAAAATAACAGTTCATCATAATCTGAACTGGGACTGTTCCTGTGCAAAACATCCAATCCCATTGTGACCTATTGCAGCGTTTCATAAGAATTCCCTTGTTTTCTAACTCTCCTTGCTTGATCTTCGCCTCATCTTCCGGCCTGCCAGTACATTACGTTGAGCGCTCACGTCATATACTACTTGATAAGTAGGCGTCGCACCACAGCACCACAGACCTTTCAGTGATAAACACTGCTGCAAAACGTATTGGCGAAATGTCGTTTTAAGGTGAAAAAATACATTTACAGTTTGGCGTTTGCGCTCGTAAAGCCCAACGAAGATCAGATATCTGAGTATATTCACGTCGTGATCTGAAACTACACAATTTACTCTTTCTGAGCATTACTTTAATACTGAATGATTATTGAAATCAATAGTTTGCATATTATAATGGTCAAACTGATTCTTCAGTGCTTATCACAATAGTATTTGTGTTTAGCTGCAAAGTAGAAGGAACAGCAATATCCCAGTTCATCTAACTGCTAGAAGTGTAATCAAAGATCTCCAATAGCAATTAATCAGAATATGCCCGTTTCAACTTAATTAGGGGTTACAGTCTCTATAGCAGTCAATCAAACTGAATCTTGCTAAAAAAATTCCCAACAACGTACACATAGTACGTATGTACCTCAGTTCAAGTTGCCGTACTATATTAACACAGAGATGCGGCTAACAGCTCAAATCCCATAGTGGTAGACGTACTGTAAAGGTATTAACAGAAGTCGAGAAGGTTAGGGTTCGAAGATATTATTCAAGAAGCATCATTCATTGAGGTAACTTTGGAAAGAAAAAGACAGACATGATGAGGAATCCTGAAGATTGGGATTTCAGAGAACACAAAGAGTGGATGTACTTGTACGATTGTAAATCATTTTAAGCTATGTTATTTAAAGTCTCTAGCCACCAAGTATAATTGACTCGCGGACCACAACCAGGTAATCTAATAAAATGACTCAGTTCAGTTATTAGTGACTTAATTGATTTCAGCCATGTTTTGGTCTGGCCGCCCCTAGATTTCTGTCAGCCTACCGCTACAAAAGATATCGCTCGTCGATGCAGTCGATGGTTGGGCATCAGCAGCACATGTCCCAACCATTTTCACTCATGAAGATTCATTAGTTCATCACCTGATCTGCCACCCTTACCTAATACTCGTTTCCTAACGACAGCATTGCTTGCTCGGTACTCCCAGGATGCATGGGAAAGCTATAGGGCAGACATCTGAAGCAAGAGCGAGCTGCAGGTCCTGATAGGCTAACTCCTGAGATTTTTAAGGACGGTGGTCCAGCTCTAGCTGCTAGATTGACTAAGATCTTAGGTAGAATCTGGGAACTAAGAGTAATGCCATCTTACTGGCCTCAATCTCTCATTGTCCCAATTTATAAAAAAGCACAAAAGTCTTCTTGTGACAATCACAGGGGAATCAATCTAACTAATATAGTTTCTAAATTGTTAGCCTCGATTATACTTAGACACCTAACTAGAGCTTGTAAAGAGCAGACTAGAGAAAACCAGGCTGGATTCAGACCCGGAAGTGGATGTATAGACCACATTTTCACACTACGAAAGGTCCTGGAACACAGACACACACTTAGACGGCCGACAATAGTTGTCTTCCTGGACCTAAAAGCGGCATTTGACTCTGCGGATCGTGAGATTCTATGGCAGCATCTGTCATCAAAAGGTGTACCAAAGAACTACATTAACTGTATACAAGCTCTCCACTCGAACACTACATGTTGGATTAGATCTTATGGCGAACTGTCATCGGAATTCTTTACTTCAAGTCGTGTCCGTCAGGGCTGTCTACTTTCCCCACTCTTATTTAATTTTGTTATAAATATGCTCCTAGATGTAACCTTATCCTCGTCAGGGTAGACCTTCAACCAAGAGGCTCGCTTATTGACCTAGAATATGCTGATGGCATAGTTCTATTCGGTGAAGACGATGACAAAATGCAGAGTCTTCTGACCACCTTGAGCAACAATGCAAGCATGTTCGGGATGCGGTTTTCCCCTCGAAATGCAAAATGTTGCTTCAAGATTGGGTTTCATCGGCTCCTGAACTAGTGATAGGGAGTGAAATATTCGAACGTGTAGACCGCCTCACGTATCTTGCGAGTCTCATCAGTGCCGATGGCCTGGTGACTGACGAAATCTCAGCTCGGATACAGAAGTTGTTGTTGCCGAAGCATTCATTCTTTGTGTTCTCTCAAATCCTAAACTTTTTCATTCTTCATCTTTATCTTTTTAAGTCTTTTTCACAAATTCTACTTCTTGAATAATATCTTCTAATCCTAACCTCTCCGACTACTTCTAATACCTTTACTACCTCTACTACTATTGGATTTTAATTGACAATTTCATCTCTGTGTTAATGTGGTAAAGCATCATGAACTGAGGTACGTACGTACCAAGTTCTACGTTGCGATTGATTGATCGACTCCAAAACTTCGCTCAACATAATTCGAGTCTGCTTGTTACAACTGTAAGTGTTAATCTGTTCAATTCCTTACACATACTCAGACATTGAGTAGCTGCTTGTGGTCTCATCGTTCTGTAATCGACCTGCGTGGAATGGTAGAACCTTCAGGAACATATGTTCTAGCTAATATAGCTCGGGTGGGTCATCATGATAGGCAGGCCCAACCACCACATCAAGGTAGCAGCTACATTCAGGCATGGTCTTTAGGTTGCGCAGCGAAGAATGAACCACGAAGACCAAATCTAGTAGTTCCAACTTTGAAGCTTCAATTAGGTCGCTTTAAAAAATTGTGATGATTCAATGTTATCAATTATAAATTCCTTGCTGTAAATAAGGTTGAAATTCATCACCTGTTAGTTTGAACCATATGTTTGTAATAAGGTAGTCAGTGATGAGCCGAAGATTATTGTTTAAGTTTAGTTTTATTTACCGGAATATTACTGTCGATTTTTACTTACTTAAAAGTGAAATCAACTATCAACCAACATTAAAGTCAGAATTTTCACTATAAATGTCAAAAAAGTTATACTTTATGGGGTGGAAACAAATGAAAACCAGCCTATCATAGTTTTGTCAACCTTGGATCAATTCATTGTTGAATGTCATTTTGAACAGTGTTCAATATAAGAGTAAAAATAAACCAAAAAAAGTAAATCAACTTTTTTACAAAAAAACAGACAACTAACTTTCAGTGTTCAATAATAACGTTTTAAATCCATCTTGTGAAAAAACTTTTGCCACACGATAAACCATATGAGCATTTCGACATACACTTAAATCAATTTTATTCACTCTTTTCAGAAATAATAAGAATAAACCAACATAAAGACTGTAGTGACGAGCAATAAATGTCATCCTACAAAAAAAAGCGGAAAACGATTTTACTACTCTCATTTGAATAGATAAAATTCATTTAATGATGAATATGAGATAAATTAACTTGTCACGTTACTAATGATTATTGAGTGGAACCGAAATATCAGTCATATTTTGTATGGACTGACTAAACTATACAGGTTGGAAAGATGTGTGAGGTCTATGACGAACTGAAACAGAACAGATGTTTGCTTTCCTTAGATTAAAATGTGTTAAGCCTATAATAGAGCATGACTAAAATCAACCCAAATAGACAAGGATCATTCACAGTTCCATACCGATCGGTGCTAGTGTGTATGCCTTAGTACATATTTGAACTGCAGAGAGGAGGCCAGGTATCTCAACATACATAAAAGGACAAGCAAGATTCCCCGATACAACATAACATGCGCCAACCAAATCACTCTTGATCGATATGCCTAGGAGGATGTAAAAGCCTTTACACATCCGGGCAGCATTATTGACAGTCAAGGTGGATCCGATACAGACGTGAAGGCGCGGATCGTCAAAGCAAAGGCCTCATTGCTACAACTGAAGAACATCTAGAACTTCAAACAAACATCAACCAACAACACCAAAATCAGAATTTTCATTACAAATGTCAAGACAGTTTTACTGTACGCATCAGAAAGTATACTTGAAACCTCCATGTTCGTTTAAATATCAGAGCAACTTCAAAAGATATGAGATGATTTTCAGAACAATTTTAATCAATAGATTTAGAACAATTTTCCTTCGTACTCATAAGTACCAGATTAAGTTGCACTCGAATTTGTAAGAACATTCAAATTGTACAAAACATGCAATCTTACCAATCAGAATAATTCTCATCATCATTAATATGTACATTTAATGGTCCATCACATGTTGCTGCAGGTGAAAAACGAGCATCGGCATGCGGTTGTGAAAATCCTGTGGCGTAACGCCAAGGTTGAATACTAGAAAGCCATGTCTCAAGCACAACTTCAAAACTTAAATCAGAAGGCCAATGTTGAAAACAATGAATAATAAATTGTAAAAACTGATTCATAATATTGTGATGCGGCGGTATGGATGAGTCTGATAACATTGTCACGCTTTGATTATTGTATAAATATCTGTAGAGAACAAATTGTGATTAAATGTTTTCAAAACACTCAGAAGCCTAATCAAATAGACCACTGACACATACATAATTAAGCTTAAAAATTAAAATAATCATAATAATAAGCTATTGAAAAAATGAACAAATAATTCCCGATGAATAAACAAGTTAATGGGTGCTTTACTTCAAGGCAAGATGCATTAAATTACTGGTTATAGAGGTTACTACCACTAGTTATAAACGTGCATTTATTGCAGTACTTTGACAATAATCTAACTAAAACAATGAAAGTTTGACAAATAGACTTATGATAATGACTTGTGAAATATGAATGGATACTTTATGTAATAAACACAAGTTTTAAAGTCAAGGCGTGTATTTTTAGTATTATAATAACGATAATATACATATCCTTAAACTTTGTTTTACAGTTCTCATGCATTTTTCAGTTTAGTTGGCGTTAGCTGATCACCACTGATATTGTTTAAGAATATTTAAAGCGATATACAAACCAGCGCTACATGTAAAATCTTTCCACGTAAATTAAATAAGCTTCATTTAGTGCTTATTTATTTAAATCACTGGTGGGTGACTTAAGCCTGGGATGAATACGCACTATAGCAACGGACAACCATCTACGTACGATTTCTGAATTCATCTCGCTGAAGATCCCGCACTTACGCAGTCAACTGATATAGTTCACCTGACACCTTGTCATTTTGTACAGACCAGTAAAAATAAATTAAAACATTTAACATATGAACTACCTACAAACCAACTGCATTGGTTAAAAGAAATTCATTACACAACTTTCAAAAAAAAACTAATTAATTCATTATTGACTTCATTATATTTACTAACTAGACTATGCTTACTTTCGATAATTGAGAAATTTATTCCATATTATTTGCTGTTGTAAACTTTGAAAATGATTTGGATTTGTATGATTGAACAATGCAAAGTAGAAGAATTTGAGAAAAGATCTCACCAAAAACAGTTGACATACAGTTGGTTTAGTGGACAACTTAAAAGTCAGACAAACAAATAATAATAATAATAATAATAATAATATCTTACATGCTAAAATGATGCAGTGAGCACAAGCACGCATAAACAATACTCTGCATAAATATTAATGAACTGATAGGAATTACATGATAAGAAGGTTTAAACAATTTTATTCACCGGAAACGAACTTGTACAACAATACAACAACAAAATTGATCTTCCATTATAGTATTATGAAGACCATTGTTTTTACACATTGAAATCATGAATGAATCAGTGTTAGACCACCATAAGAAACCTGGAAGCAGTGAAAGACGACAGTTTTGTCCTGGTATGCGACTCATCAGTAGCGATGCGCATTCATGACTCTTGCAATTACCATGATTCATCCAGACCATAGATGTTACCCTGATGTGGTGGTTGGGCCTGCCTATCGTGATGACCCAACCGAGCTATATTGGCTAGAACATATGTTCCTGAAGGTTCTACCATGCCACGCAGGTCGATTGCAGAACGATGAGACCACAAGCAGCTACTCAAGGTCTGAGGGCGAAGTCTTACTGCTGACTGCAGAGGGGTGTGACAGAAGTAAGGTGTTTCCCTCGGACAACCAGCATCTGCAGCGATGCTACCTTCTCACAAGGAAGGAAGGGTTAGAAAATGTCGACCCTAGAAATGTCACACCTCACCCTACCTCACGGATTTCCGTCTCTGGTGGTAAGGGTGCCCACTAAGGGCTTTTATGAGCGGAGCTAATACTCAAAAAACCCTTCATAAAAAGGCCGTGCGTGACCGGCACGAAGCAGTTGCCCCTTGGGCTCTGCGGTCACGCTCCCAGGTCTCCAAGACCGACATTGATCCACCTTCCTTTTCAGGTTCTTCAAGAAACAACTTTCCAGTGTGTGCGGCCGGGAAGTGACAACCGCTCTCATACCCACAAAAGCGCACGAGACCGAATCGGTCACAAGAAAATCCTTCCTACACCCCTCAATATCTCTCTTATCTCCGCGACTAACTCACATTGCTTTAACACCCTACACTGTCAATGAAAACTATTCGAGTTCATGAAACGTCATTCCTGGTCTTCTGAAACACCGTTTTAAACTACATGTTGGAGCATTTAACGTCCGCACATTGTGTCAAGTAGGACAACAGGCTTCATTAGCTAAGACATTAAAATCTCGCTCAATCGATGTATGCTGCGTCTCGGAAACGCGGATGCAGGAGCCGAATAATTCGATCTCACCTAGTGCAGACAGAGACACAACAAGGTTTACGCTTAGTGTTTCTGGGAGCCCTGATGCCGCTTCTCATGGCCTCGCCGGTGTAGGTGTAGTATTAATTGCCACGGCAGAACTAGCTCTCTTAGACTCGACCCCGATGGACAGTCGCTTATGTGCTGCCCGACTAAGCTGGACGATACGGCCTCGGAAGGATAGGAACACTCGTCATTGCCTCTTCGTCGTATGTGCCTACGCTCCCACTGACTGTAGTTCAGAAGACATGAAAGATAAGTTTTATAGAAAACTGTAAAAACTTCTCCAAAATATTAAGCGCTCTGATGTAGTAACCATAGCTTGTGACTTCAATGCTCAAGTAGGTAGATTCAGCGAAAAGGAAAGACACCTTAGTGGATCTTATGGTGTCGCGGCTCAGAGAACAGATAATGGCGACCGTCTGTTGCAGCTGTGCTCAGACAACCACCTATGCCTAGCAAACACTAACTTTAGGCATAAGGAAAAACATCTTTTGACTTGGCAATCCCCAAAGCCGACACAACACTGGGCCCAACTAGATCACATTACTATCAAACACCGATAAAGAGGCCCGGTAGAGGACAGTCGCTCGTTCCGGGGCACATGTCTAGATTCAGACCATGCCCTAGTGCGAGCGCGTATTTTTTTTGAGGATTACTGGACGTAGGAAAGACACCGCGAAGAAACCTCTTAGGTTCCACTGCAGTGATATCTGCTAGCAAGATAAACCACAAGGCTAGGAAGAAGCCGTGGATCTCCATAGATTCTACTAAAATGATGGATGCTCGAAAACACATCCCACTTGGCTCTGAGTGCGATGAGGAGCGGAGTCAGCTCGAGCGCAGGCTGATAAAAAGAGCGATGGAAAAGGCAGAGACGATAGGTAACAGTAGACAGTTGTTCCGCCTTATCAAAGAAACCAGTATTAGAAATCCATCTGTTAGCGAAACTATCTCAAAAAGAGATGGCTGTATCATTCATTCTCAATCCAGGAGACTGGATCGATGTGCAGAACACTTTAGGGATCAGTTTAACTGGCCTTCAGCCACACTACGGCTGCCCACGAACTCCAGTCATTCTGAATGGAAAATCGACGTAAGTCCCCCGACTCTTTATGAAGTTGAGAAAGTTATAGGACATCTGAAGCGAGGAAGAGCAGCAGGTCCTGATAGGCTAACTCCTGAGATTTTTAAGGACGGTGGTCCAGCTTTAGCTGCTAGATTGACTAAGATCTTAGGTAGAATCTGGGAACTAAGAGTAATGCCATCTTACTGGCCTCAATCTCTCATTGTCCCAATTTATAAAAAAGCACAAAAGTCTTCTTGTGACAATCACAGGGGAATCAATCTAACTAATATAGTTTCTAAATTGTTAGCCTCGATTATCCTTAGACACCTAACTAGAGCTTGTAAAGAGCAGACTAGAGAAAACCAGGCTGGATTCAGACCCGGAAGTGGATGTATAGACCACATCTTCACACTACGAAAGGTCCTGGAACACAGACACACACTTAAAGGCCGACAATAGTTGTCTTCCTGGACCTAAAAGCGGCATTTGACTCTGCGGATCGTGAGATTCTATGGCAGCATCTGTCATCAAAAGGTGTACCAAAGAACTACATTAACTGTATACAAGCTCTCCACTCGAACACTACATGTTGGATTAGATCTTATGGCGAACTGTCATCGGAATCGTTTACTTCAAGTCGTGTCCGTCAGGGCTGTCTACTTTCCCCACTCTTATTTAATTTTGTTATAAATATGCTCCTAGATGTAACCTTATCCTCGTCAGGGTAGACCTTCAACCAAGAGGCTCGCTTATTGACCTAGAATATGCTGATGGCATAGTTCTATTCGGTGAAGACGATGACAAAATGCAGAGTCTTCTGACCACCTTGAGCAACAATGCAAGCATGTTCGGGATGCGGTTTTCCACCTCGAAACGCAAAATGTTACTTCAAGATTGGGTTGCATTGCCACCTGAGTGAAGTAGTCGGAGGTTTAGACCGCTTCACTTATCTGGGAAGTCTCATCAGTGCCGATGGCCTGGTGACTGACGAAATCTCAGCTCGGATACAGAAGGCTCGATTGGCTTTTGCCAAACTGCGTCACCTATGACGTAGGCGAGATATCCGTTTGCTGACTAAAGGACGAGTGTACTGTGCAGTAGTTTGCTCCATCTTACTTAATGGCTGTGAAATATGGCCAGTGAGAATAGAAGATATTCGTCGGTTACTGATTTTCAATCATAGGTTTCTTCGAAACATTGCTCCTATATCATGGGACATCCGAGTGAGCAACGCTGTTATTAGGAAACTGGTGCTAGTTAAGAATGGCAGATCAATAGATGAAGTGCTGAAACTTCATCAGTTGAGGTGGTTGGGACATGTGCTGCGTATGCCTATCCACCAACTGCCTCGACGAGCTTTGTTTTGTAGTGTAGTAATAAGCTGGAAGAAAGTTAGGGGTGGCCTAACCAAAACATGGCAGAAATCCATGAAGTCATTGACAAGTGGACTGAGTCATGTCGGTAGGTGTCGACTGCCTGGTTGAGGTCCGCGAGATATTAGTAATCGATGGTTAGTGACCCTGAATGACATGGCTCAAAACAGTTTGCAACGGCGCCGGTGCATTCATTCTTTGTGTTCCCTCAAATCCTAAACTTTTTAATTCTTTATTTTTATCTTTTTAAGTCTTTTTCACAAATTCTACTTCTTGAATAATATCTTCTAATCCTAACCTCTCCGACTACTTCTAATACCTTTACTACCTCTACTACTATTGGGTTTTAATTGACAATTTCATCTCTGTGTTAATGTGGTAAGGCATCACGAACTGACGTACGTACGTACGAAGTTCTACGTTGCGATTGATTGATCGACTCCAAAACTTCGCTTAACATAATTCGAGTCTGCTTGTTACAACTGTAAGTGTTAATCTGTTTCAATTCCTTACACATACGGTCAGAAATATTGCTATTCGTTTTTATTTCATCTACTTTATACAGGTCCAGTTGAAGCTAAAGAACGTGACACGCTTGCCCTTCACGAAGTGATGAGCTGAAAGACCTTAACACTCACTCACTTAGTCAGTCAGTCAGTAAATTAAAGCGTAGAACTTCGCGCGTACATACATTAGTTCAGGTTGCCATACCACATTAGCACAGAGAGACATTTGTCAATCGAATTTGCATAGTAGCAGAGGTAGTCGAAGTACTAGCGGTAATGGAGAAGATAACGGTTCGAAGATATGATTCGAGATGTATAGTGTAATGAAATCAATTTAGAAAGAGAAAGATAAAGGTGATGAGGAATTCAGATCAGGATTTGAGAGAACACAAAGAATGGACGCACCTGCACCATTACAACCAATTTTGGGCTGTATCGTTCAAGATCTCTAACCATCGATTACTATCATCTTGCAGACACCACGCAGTCTACAACTACCAACATGGCTTAGTTCAGCTGTCAATGACTGTATGGATTTGTTTCAGTCTGGGTGCTCCTAGCTTTCCTACAACTTACCCCTACACCGGTAAACATAGCTCTTCGAGGCAGTCGATGGATAGGCATTCGTACTGCATGTCCCAACAACCTCAACTGATGAAGTTACAATAGTTCATCTGCTGATTTGCCATCCTTGCTTAGTACTTTATTCATAACAACCGCAATGCGTACTCGCTAGACCCAGGATACGCGAGCAATGCTACGAAAATGACTCTATTTTACTTAAAAAAAATAATAGTAACAAACCTCATAAAAACTCAAAGGAGAAAGGGCAGTCCTGGCAGGTTGATTGTAACGGGTTCCGGAAATGCTATTGGGATAATCACATATTCGCCTAGAAAGAAGAAATTCACATACAGCCTATATTCTAGAGTGGTTTTGTGTACATCTTACTTGTAATACTGACTCTGTCTGCCAAAATAAGCGAAGATCAGGAAAGCAAGTGTCCGAAAATTCATTTGTATACTGTTTGACAGACTCATTGGAATAAATCCTAAGAGGTTTGCAAGAAACATTTACTTACTTTTGGTATGTAGGCATTTGAGAACCAGCTCTGGAAAATTGGATTTTAGAAGCCATTACATTTACTGCGGTCGGATCAGTAAATAGGTAAAAACCTAGGTAATCATTAAATAGTGCGCAGTATAAACTGTTCTCAAAATCACACAACACAAGTTCCTATACAGATTACTTAGATCTAAATGCAATCACCTGTTTCCATTTGGGATACCCTGTAAAACACATGAAAGCGAACATATAATAGGTAAATGCATCTGAAAAGTCAACTAAAAGCTAATAAACTTACTTATAGATAAATGTGTCCGTGATTGTTTGTCATCATCCGACCATAAGGTGTTTTGTGAATCGGTCTGAAATAGAGTTTAAGCAGAATTACGTGTTTACTGATAACATCCAAAGTGGGAAGTCGGGATTGCTTGTTGAGAATTCTAACGTTAATCTACTAGCCAAAACCTCCAAGAACCTCCCATTAGGTGAAAGGAACTCTCGAATGCAATTGAACAAATATGGATCATCAGCTTCTTTAAGAGAATGTAAAACCCAACCGTCTGCACCATCTGAATAACCGAATATATTGTCGATGACAAGAACGAGATAGCTGCTCAGCTCCTAAGAAATAAAGTCACACAAAAATGAAGTACACCTGTAAATTTCCACGAGCGAAAATATCACTAAGTTCTTTCACCCTTTCAGTTAGTGGTAGAGATAAACAGTGGTCAAACATTATTCCCAGTAAATTCTGAATAAGACACAAGTCCAACGGAAATTTAGGTTTCTGATAAGCTCCTAAACATTCATGTGTTTCAACGAACAGGATTGTGAGACGCGGGATGAGAGAGCAAGGAGAATGTGTAATGACCTACAATATCCAATATCCAATATTTTTTTTCACCAGCTAGTGTAAACCAATTTGATTTCTTTGCACTCGATTCTTGTTCTTTCGGTACGGTTCCAGGTATTTTCTGGTATTCAATGAATGGGGGTCTATCCACTTGACTGTCTAATTCCAGTCAGTTGGCAGTTGGTTGTGAGTTTGTATGTCTCGAGATTTGGATGTAAACGTTTGTTTCAGGGCAGTAGGGTTTCTGGATACCAGCAGCTATTATACTAACAGATCGGGGATCAGATAGGTGCAATGTAGAAAATAATAATGAGCATATTAGGTAGAGAGGGTGTGACGACTTTGTGAACCTCAAGGTGTAGGTGCGCATATCTTAAATAATGTTAAGAATAATTAGTGGGTTATAGCACCAAGTTGTCTTCGCATAAAGTGAACATTTGCATATGCCTTGGCTGCGTCTTTTATATAGTTCGAACCGGTGTGAAGGCTTTCTGTGGTTATTAAACTGATATCACGCTCTAAGGAGGGAGCGGTATAGATCGTTTGCGTCGTGTGAGACAGAATATGCATGACGTAGCACTTCGGTTGGTTGAGTTTTAAACCGTTTTTCACTGCCCGTTCCTCAAAGGATGTAAGGTCCTTTTGAAGCTCGGTCGAATCCTCTTCGCTTCTAATGGACCTCCAGATCTTTGCATCGTCCGCGTAGATCAATGCCGGTGAGCTAACTGTGTCTAACTGGTTTTTCATTGATATCAGGAAGAAACGTGGACCCTAAATAGTCCCTTGTGATACTCCCGATGTTGAAACTCGCCAATTCGCTTGCAAACTATTTACCTGGGTACGAAACGTACTATTCCCAGCGTAGTTTGAGCCATGATATGAGTGGGTCAATAAAGCCCATTTCCGCAACCTTTTCGATTAGGCGTGAGTGGGGTACTGTGCCAAGATCTTTGGCAAACTCGAAAAATATTACGTTCACCGGTGTTCTTCAGTCCAAACATGATGTCCAACTGTCCCATGCAATGAGAAGATTAGATGAATATGACTTGACTTTCCGAAACCCATGTTGAGCTTCATGGAGTATTTTATTCTCATCCATGTACTTCCTAATCTGTTTGTTCACCAGACCTTCCGTTACCGCCCATAGTAGTGGCAGTAATGCAACTGGTATGTAACAGGCTGGGTCCTTGCTATCTCCGCCTTTGAAGATTGGAGAGAAAGTAGCTTTTTTCTATTCAACTGTGATATGGCGTGACTCGTGTGAATGCCTGAACAGGTAACATATCGGTGAATTCAGGGCTTCTGTACATTGTTTCAAGACTATGGGGCGAATATTGTCACAACCTGGTGACTTTCCTGGGCGTAAGGATTTTGATTTCCTTAGTACTAAGTCAGGAGTGATAAGGCTGTCCCCTAAGCCGTCAGCTGGCAGTAGTTTTGCGTAATACTCTCAAAACATGTAGGCGCCTGGTTTAACTGATCAGAAAAGTTTGTGTTGAAGATCTCGGCCATATCTAGGTTGGTGAGGTCTTCCCCGTTTGATCCTTTTAGAGAACACAACCCTTGATTAGTAGGTTTTCCTTTGGACGTGAACCTAAACAGATGCTTCGGATTTGCCTGTATTTTGACAGCTAGCTTCATCTGAAAGCGTCTCCTATCACTTCGAACTTTGGTATTGCGTCCGTTTTCCAGTGCCAAGTAAGAACTACGGTGAGAATCCCCCAAGGAGACCTCCAACTTGTACCAAGCTCGCCTCTTCGCCTGTAGCAAGCATTCAGAGTGTGGTGTGATCGAGCCACTTTGTCCAGGAAGGCATTCTGGACGATATCTCTCACTGTTTTCCGGTGATCATCAACTGCCAGCCTCCACCATTCCCGTGGCCATGGGGCATGTAGAAGGTCCTCTCTCACATGCGCGCGATCCGCCCTAGAGTAGCAGATGTAGGGCTCGTTTTCGTCTTGCCTGAGCGTTTCGTTTATGACCATGTTAAACAAAACTGTGTCATGGTCACTAATTCCTATTGGTGTGTGGACTTGAAAATTCTCAACCTGGAGCTGATCATTTGTTAGGAAATAATCCAGTTATAAATTTTCCCCTCTTTAGTCCATCTGGTGGCAATGCTTACATGCTGAGTCATCCCGGAGCTTCTAATGTCTGTGCCAAGCCGACTTTGAAATCAACTAGTGGGAGTTGTACCGTGATTGCTGAGATTTAGAGTTGTGGTGCTAAAATCTGCAGCTCAAAGTATTTTATCGAACCCCAGGAGTAGTGATTGCAGTATTGCCTCAGTCAGTTTGTCTTCCCGGTCCTTAGCGCCCGAAGGAATCCGGTAAATCCTTACAATCAATTATTTCGCGCCATTCGTGTGGAAACAGCACCAACATGATTCTGTCACCTCATTAATTTGGGTGTCGTATAGCCCCTCGGCTTTTAAGTGGCTGTTTATATTTGTAGCCAGTCCGCTTGCTGTTTGGTGTGCTTCGGAAGGGTGGCATGCCTTACAAACAAATAAAGGAATAGGAGGAAAAGGAAGGGGGAGAGAAGGGGTGGAAGGAAGGAAGCAGGATCAGTTGAAAAATAAAGTATGAGAAAAAATGAGGAATGAGGTTGTAAAAAGAGGGAAGGTCCCAGCATAATAATTTGAGACTAAAAAAACGTTGAGAAAGGGAATAGAGGGATAGTGTTCGAACTAACTAAATAAAAGGGGGTGGTGGTCCTTGATGGAGCATGACATCTAGAAAGTGAGACAGAAATGGGTGGGAGAATAAATTGATGTAGATACAAAGGGAAAAGATTTTTCCAAGGTGAGGAAAAATAAGAAATATGCGGGTTGTAGTAAGATGAGGGAGAAAGATAATAGGAGATGCAAGGTAATAAAAGGTTATAGAGAACAAAAGGAAGGGGAAGAAGATAGGAATGTCTGAGTGAGGTCTGCAGAAAGGAAATGAAAAAAGGAAGGAGAACAAAAAAAAACAAGAAAGAGGAACTGGATGAAAAAATATGAAAACATAGAAACGATATTCAGCGAAAAGAACGTTTAAGGGGCATCAAGATACTGAAGAAAACCACAAAAAATTAATTTGAAAGGAGGAAAGAAGGAATTAATGGGTGCGTGAGGTTTAAAAAACAGAATCGGAGAGAAAAAAGTTGATTGTAAGGATTGTGAAAGGATTGAATTAAGGCGATGATTAAAGAAAAGGGAAACAAGAAAAACCGGGATATGCCAGTTGGATAAATACAGCAATCACTACTCCTGGGGTTCGATAAAATACTTTGAGCTGCAGATTTTAGCACCACAACTCTAAATCTCAGCAATCACGGTACAACTCCCACTAGTTGATTTCAAAGTCGGCTTGGCACAGACATTAGAAGCTCCGGGATGACTCAGCATGTAAGCATTGCCACCAGATGGACTAAAGAGGGGAAAATTTATAACTGGATTATTTCCTAACAAATGATCAGCTCCAGGTTGAGAATTTTCAAGTCCACACACCAATAGGAATTAGTGACCATGACACAGTTTTGTTTAACATGGTCATAAACGAAACGCTCAGGCAAGACGAAAACGAGCCCTACTTCTGCTACTCTAGGGCGGATCGCGCGCATACGAGAGAGGACCTTCTACATGCCCCATGGCCACGGGAATGGTGGAGGCTGGCAGTTGATGATCACCGGAAAACAGTGAGAGATATCGTCCAGAATGCCTTCCTAGACAAAGTGGCTCGATCACACCACAATCTGAATGCTTGCTACAGGCGAAGAGGCGAGCTTGGTACAAGTTGGAGGTCTCCTTGGGGGATTCTCACCGTAGTTCTTACTTGGCACTGGAAAACGGACGCAATACCAAAGTTCGAAGTGATAGGAGACGCTTTCAGATGAAGCTAGCTGTCAAAATACAGGCAAATCCGAAGCATCTGTTTAGGTTCACGTCCAAAGGAAAACCTACTAATCAAGGGTTGTGTTCTCTAAAAGGACCAAACGGGGAAGACCTCACCAACCTAGATATGGCCGAGATCTTCAACACAAACTTTCCTGATCAGTTAAACCAGGCGCCTACATGTTCAGAGTATTACGCAAAACTACTGCTAGCTGACGGCTTAGGGGACAGCCTTATCACTCCTGACTTAGTACTAAGGAAATCAAAATCCTTACGCCCAGGAAAGTCACCAGGTTGTGACAATATTCGCCCCATAGTCTTGAAACAATGTACAGAAGCCCTGAATTCACCGATATGTTACCTGTTCAGGCATTCACACGAGTCACGCCATATCACAGTTGAATAGAAAAAAGCTACTTTCTCTCCAATCTTCAAAGGCGGAGATAGGAAGGACCCAGCCTGTTACATACCAGTTGCATTACTGCCACTAGTATGGGCGGTAACGGAAGGTCTGGTGAACAAACAGATTAGGGAGTACATGGATGAGAATAAAATACTCCATGAAGCTCAACATGGGTTTCGGAAAGGCAAGTCATATTCATCTAATCTTCGCATTGCATGGGACAGTTGGACATCATGTTTGGACTGAAGAACACCGGTGAACGTAATATTTTTCGAGTTTGCCAAAGATCTTGGCACAGTACCCCACTCACGCCTAATCGAAAAGGTTGCGGAAATGGGCTTTATTGACCCACTCATATCATGGCTCAAACTACGCTGGGAATAGTACGTTTCGTACCCAGGTAAATAGTTTGCAAGCGAACTGGCGAGTTTCAACATCGGGAGTATCACAAGGGACTATTTAGGGTCCACTTTTCTTCCTGATATCAATGAAAAACCAGTTAGACACAGTTAGCTCACCGGCATTGATCTACGCGGACGATGCAAAGATCTGGAGGTCCATTAGAAGCGAAGAGGATTCGACCGAGCTTTAAAAGGACCTTACATCCTTTGAGGAACGGGCAGTGAAAAACAGTTTAAAACTCAACCAACCGAAGTGCTACGTCATGCATATTCTGTCTCACACGACGCAAACGATCTATACCGCTCCCTCCTTAGAGCGCGATATCAGTTTAATAACCACAGAAAGCCTTCACACCAGTTCGAACTATATAAAAGACGCAGCCAAGGCAAATGCAAATGTTCACTTCATGCGAAGACAACTTGGTGCTATAACCCACTAATTATTCTTAACATTATTTAAGATATGCGCACCTACACCTTAAGGTTCACAAAGTCGTCACACCCTCTCTACCTAATATGCTCATTATTATTTTCTACATTGCACCTATCTGATCCCCGATCTGTTAGTATAATAGCTGCTGGTATCCAGAAACCCTACTGCCCTGAAACAAACGTTTTCATCCAAATCTCGAGACATACAAACTCACAACCAACTGCCAACTGACTGGAATTAGACAGTCAAGTGGCTAGACCCCCATTCATTGAATACCAGCAAATACCTGGAACCGTACCGAAAGAACAAGAATCGAGTGCAAAGAAATCAAATTGGTTTACACTAGCTCGTGAAAAAGATATTGGATATTGGATATTGTAGGTCATTACACATTCTCCTTGCTCTCTCATCCCGCGTCTCACAATCCTGTTCGTCGAAACACATGAATGTTTAGGAGCTTATCAGAAACCTAAATTTCCGTTGGACTTGTGTCTTATTCAGAATTTACTGGGAATAATGTTTGACCACTGTTTATCTCTACCACTAACTGAAAGGGTGAAAGAACTTAGTGATATTTTCGCTCGTGGAAATTTACAGGTGTACTTCATTTTTGTGACTTTATTTCTTAGGAGCTGAGCAGCTCTCTCGTTCTTGTCATCGACAATATATTCGGTTATTCAGATGGTGCAGACGGTTGGGTTTTACATTCTCTTAAAGAAGCTGATGATCCATATTTGTTCAATTGCATTCGAGAGTTCCTTTCACCTAATGGGAGGTTCTTGGAGGTTTTGGCTAGTAGATTAACGTTAGAATTCTCAACAAGCAATCCCGACTTTCCACTTTGGATGTTATCAGTAAACACGTAATTCTGCCTAAACTCTGTTTCAGACCGATTCACAAAACACCTTATGGTCGGATGATGACAAACAATCACGGACACATTTATCTATAAGTACGTTTATTAGCTTTTAGTTGACTTCTCAGATGCATTTACCTATTATATGTTCGCTTTCATGTGTTTTACAGGGTATCCCAAACGGAAACAGGTGATTGCATTTAGATCTAAGTAATCTGTATAGGAACTTGTGTTGTGTGATTTTGAGAACAGTTTATACTGCGCACTATTTAATGATTACCTAGGTTTTTACCTATTTACTGATCCGACCGCAGTAAATGTAATGGCTTCTAAAATCCAATTTTCCAGAGCTGGTTCTCAAATGCCTACATACCAAAAGTAAGTAAATGTTTCTTGCAAACCTCTTAGGATTTATTCCAATGAGTCTGTCAAACAGTATACAAATGAATTTTCGGACACTTGCTTTCCTGATCTTCGCTTATTTTGGCAGACAGAGTCAGTATTACAAGTAAGATGTACACAAAACCACTCTAGAATATAGGCTGTATGTGAATTTCTTCTTTCTAGGCGAATATATGATTATCCCAATAGCATTTCCGGAACCCGTTACAATCAACCTGCCAGGACTGCCCTTTCTCCGTTGAGTTTTTATGAGGTTTGTTACTATTATTTTTTTAAAGTAAAATAGAGTCATTTTCGTAGCATTGATCGTGTATCCTGGGTCTAGCGAGTACGCATTGCGGTTGTTATGAATAAAGTACTAAGCAAGGATGGCAAATCAGCAGATGAACTATTGTAACTTCATCAGTTGAGGTTGTTGGGACATGCAGTACGAATGCCTATCCATCGACTGCCTCGAAGAGCTATGTTTACCGGTGTAGGGGTAAGTTGTAGGAAAGCTAGGAGCACCCAGACTGAAACAAATCCATACAGTCATTGACAGCTGAACTAAGCCATGTTGGTAGTTGTAGACTGCGTGGTGTCTGCAAGATGATAGTAATCGATGGTTAGAGATCTTGAACGATACAGCCCAAAATTGGTTGTAATGGTGCAGGTGCGTCCATTCTTTGTGTTCTCTCAAATCCTGATCTGAATTCCTCATCACCTCTATCTTTCTCTTTCTAAATTGATTTCATTACACTATACATCTCGAATCATATCTTCGAACCGTTATCTTCTCCATTACCGCTAGTACTTCGACTACCTCTGCTACTATGCAAATTCAATTGACAATTGTCTCTCTGTGCTAATGTGGTATGGCAACCTGAACTAATGTATGTACGCACGAAGTTCTACGCTTTAATTTACTGACTGACTGACTAAGTGAGTGAGTGTTAAGGTCTTTCAGCTCATCACTTCGTGAAGGGCAAGCGTGTCACGTTCTTTAGCTTCAACTGGACCTGTATAAAGTAGATGAAATAAAAACGAATAGCAATATTTCTGACCGTATGTGTAAGGAATTGAACAGATTAACACTTACAGTTGTAACAAGCAGACTCGAATTATGTTAAGCGAAGTTTTGGAGTCGATCAATCAATCGCAACGTAGAACTTCGTACGTACGTACGTCAGTTCGTGATGCCTTACCACATTAACACAGAGATGAAATTGTCAATTAAAACCCAATAGTAGTAGAGGTAGTAAAGGTATTAGAAGTAGTCGGAGAGGTTAGGATTAGAAGATATTATTCAAGAAGTAGAATTTGTGAAAAAGACTTAAGAAGATAAAAATAAAGAATTAAAAAGTTTAGGATTTGAGGGGACACAAAGAATGAATGCACCGGCGCCGTTGCAAACTGTTTTGAGCCATGTCATTCAGGGTCACTAACCATCGATTACTAATATCTCGCGGACCTCAACCAGGCAGTCGACACCTACCGACATGACTCAGTCCACTTGTCAATGACTTCATGGATTTCTGCCATGTTTTGGTTAGGCCACCCCTAACTGTCTTCCAGCTTATTACTACACTACAAAACAAAGCTCGTCGAGGCAGTTGGTGGATAGGCATACGCAGCACATGTCCCAACCACCTCAACTGATGAAGTTTCAGCACTTCATCTATTGATCTGCCATTCTTAACTAGCACCAGTTTCCTAATAACAGCGTTGCTCACTCGGGTGTCCCATGATATAAGAGCAATGTTTCGAAGAAACCTATGATTGAAAATCAGTAACCGACGAATATCTTCTATTCTCGCTGGCCATGTTTCACAGCCATTAAGTAAGATGGAGCAAACTACTGCACAGTACACTCGTCCTTTAGTCAGCAAACGGATATCTCGCCTACGTCATAGGTGACACAGGTTGGCAAAAGCCAATCGAGCCTTCTGTATCCGAGCTGAGATTTCGTCAGTCACCAGGCCATCGGCACTGATGAGACTCCCCAGATAAGTGAAGCGGTCTAAACGCCCGACTACTTCACTCCCTATCACTAGTTCAGGTGGCAATGCAACCCAATCTTGAAGTAACATTTTGCGTTTCGAGGTGGAAAACCGCATCCCGAACATGCTTGCATTGTTGCTCAAGGTGGTCAGAAGACTCTGCATTTTGTCATCGTCTTCACCGAATAGAACTATGCCATCAGCATATTCTAGGTCAATAAGCGAGCCTCTTGGTTGAAGGTCTACCCTGACGAGGATCAGGTTACATCTAGGAGCATATTTATAACAAAATTAAATAAGAGTGGGGAAAGTAGACAGCCCTGACGGACGCGACTTGAAGTAAACGATTCCGATGACAGTTCGCCATAAGATCTAATCCAACATGTAGTGTTCGAGTGGAGAGCTTGTATACAGTTAATGTAGTTCTTTGGTACACCTTTTGATGACAGATGCTGCCATAGAATCTCACGATCCGCAGAGTCAAATGCCGCTTTTAGGTCCAGGAAGACAACTATTGTCGGCCGTCTAAGTGTGTGTCTGTGTTCCAGGACCTTTCGTAGTGTGAAAATGTGGTCTATACATCCACTTCCGGGTCTGAATCCAGCCTGGTTTTCTCTAGTCTGCTCTTTACAAGCTCTAGTTAGGTGTCTAAGGATAATCGAGGCTAACAATTTAGAAACTATATTAGTTAGATTGATTCCCCTGTGATTGTCACAAGAAGACTTTTGTGCTTTTTTATAAATTGGGACAATGAGAGATTGAGGCCAGTAAGATGGCATTACTCTTAGTTCCCAGATTCTACCTAAGATCTTAGTCAATCTAGCAGCTAGAGCTGGACCACCGTCCTTAAAAATCTCAGGAGTTAGCCAATCAGGACCTGCTGCTCTTCCTCGCTTCAGATGTCCTATAACTTTCTCAACTTCATAAAGAGTCGGGGGACTTACGTCGATTTTCCATTCAGAATGACTGGAGATCGTGGGCAGCCGTAGTGTGGCTAAAGGCCAGTTAAACTGATCCCTAAAGTGTTCTGCCCATCGATCCAGTCTCCTGGATTGAGAATGAATGATACAGCCATCTCTTTCTGAGATAGTTTCGCTAACAGATGGATTTCTAATACTGGTTTCTTTGATAAGGCGGAACAACTGTCTACTGTTACCTATCGTCTCTGCCTTTTCCATCGCTCTTTTTATCAGCCTGCGCTCGAGCTGACTCCGCTCCTCATCGCACTCAGAGCCAAGTGGGATGTGTTTTCGAGCATCCATCATTTTAGTAGAATCTATGGAGATCCACGGCTTCTTCCTAGCCTTGTGGTTTATCTTGCTAGCAGATATCACTGCAGTGGAACCTAAGAGGTTTCTTCGCGGTGTCTTTCCTACGTCCAGTAATCCTCAAAAAAAATACGCGCTCGCACTAGGGCATGGTCTGAATCTAGACATGTGCCCCGGAACGAGCGACTGTCCTCTACCGAGCCTCTTTATCGGTGTTTGATAGTAATGTGATCTAGTTGGGCCCAGTGTTGTGTCGGCTTTGGGGATTGCCAAGTCAAAAGATGTTTTTCCTTATGCCTAAAGTTAGTGTTTGCTAGGCATAGGTGGTTGTCTGAGCACAGCTGCAACAGACGGTCGCCATTATCTGTTCTCTGAGCCGCGACACCATAAGATCCACTAAGGTGTCTTTCCTTTTCGCTGAATCTACCTACTTGAGCATTGAAGTCACAAGCTATGGTTACTATATCAGAGCACTTAATATTTTGGAGAAGTTTTTACAGTTTTCTATAAAACTTATCTTTCATGTCTTCTGAACTACAGTCAGTGGGAGCGTAGGCACATACGACGAAGAGGCAATGACGAGTGTTCCTATCCTTCCGAGGTCGTATCGTCCAGCTTAGTCGGGCAGCACATAAGCGACTGTCCATCGGGGTCGAGTCTAAGAGAGCTAGTTCTGCCGTGGCAATTAATACTACACCTACACCGGCGAGGCCATGAGAAGCGGCATCAGGGCTCCCAGAAACACTAAGCGTAAACCTTGTTGTGTCTCTGTCTGCACTAGGTGAGATCGAATTATTCGGCTCCTGCATCCGCGTTTCCGAGACGCAGCATACATCGATTGAGCGAGATTTTAATGTCTTAGCTAATGAAGCCTGTTGTCCTACTTGACACAATGTGCGGACGTTAAATGCTCCAACATGTAGTTTAAAACGGTGTTTCAGAAGACCAGGAATGACGTTTCATGAACTCGAATAGTTTTCATTGACAGTGTAGGGTGTTAAAGCAATGTGAGTTAGTCGCGGAGATAAGAGAGATATTGAGGGGTGTAGGAAGGATTTTCTTGTGACCAATTCGGTCTCGTGCGCTTTTGTGGGTATGAGAGCGGTTGTCACTTCCCGGCCGCACACACTGGAAAGTTGTTTCTTGAAGAACCTGAAAAGGAAGGTAGATCAATGTCGGTCTTGGAGACCTGGGAGCGTGACCGCAGAGCCCAAGGGACAACTGCTTCGTGCCGGTCACGCACGGCCTTTTTATGAAGGGTTTTTTGAGTATTAGCTCCGCTCATAAAAGCCCTTAGTGGGCACCCTTACCACCAGAGACGGAAATCCGTGAGGTAGGGTGAGGTGTGACATTTCTAGGGTCGACATTTTCTAACCCTTCCTTCATTGTGAGAAGGTAGCATCGCTGCAGATGCTGGTTGTCCGAGGGAAACACCTTACTTCTGTCACACCCGTCTGCAGTCAGCAGTAAGACTTGGCCCTCAGACCTTGAGTACCTGCTTGTGGTTTCATCGTTCTGCAATCGGCCTGCGTGGCATAGTAGAACCTTCAGGAACATATGTTTTAGCCAATATAGCTCGGGTGGGTCATCACGATAGGCAGGCCCAACCACCACATCAGGGTAACATCTATGGTCTGGATGAATCATGGTAATAGCAAGAGTCATGAATGCGCATCGCTACTGATGAGTCGCATACCAGGACAAAACTGTCGTCTTTCACTGCTTCCAGGTTTCTTATGGTGGTCTAACACTGATTCATTCATGATTTCAATGTGTAAAAACAATGGTCTTCATAATACTATAATGGAAGATCAATTTTGTTGTTGTATTGTTGTACAAGTTCGTTTCCGGTGAATAAAATTGTTTAAACCTTCTTATCATGTAATTCCTATCAGTTCATTAATATTTATGCAGAGTATTGTTTATGCGTGCGTGTGCTCACTGCATCATTTTAGCATGTAAGATATTATTATTATTATTATTATTATTTGTTTTTGTCTGACTTTTAAGTTGTCCACTAAACCAACTGTATGTCAACTATTTTTGGTGAGATCTTTTCTCAAATTCTTCTACTTTGCATTGTTCAATCATACAAATCCAAATCATTTTCAAAGTTTACAACAGCAAATAATATGGAATAAATTTCTCAATTATCGAAAGTAAGCATAGTCTAGTTAGTAAATATAATGAAGTCAATAATGAATTAATTAGTTTTTTTTTGAAAGTTGTGTAATGAATTTCTTTTAACCAATGCAGTTGGTTTGTAGGTAGTTCATATGTTAAATGTTTTAATTTATTTTTACTGGTCTGTACAAAATGACAAGGTGTCAGGTGAACTACATCAGTTGACTGCGTAAGTGCGGGATCTTCAGCGAGATGAATTCAGAAATCGTACGTAGATGGTTGTTCTTTGCTATAGTGCGTATTCATCCCAGGCTCAAGTCACCCACCAGTGATTTAAATAAATAAGCACTAAATGAAGCTTATTTAATTTACGTGGAAAGATTTTACATGTAGCGCTGGTTTGTATATCGCTTTAAATATTCTT